CGCTTTTAGAATTTACAGAAATACAACTTCCAGTTTGTTCACAATTCATTACTCAATAGAAAACCTGATGTTATTGGTTGTCCAGTTCTAGTGCAACAGTACTTTACAGTGATAGGATTAGAGACTAAGGCTTTCTAAGTTTATATCCTTGTAAAATATTGTAAATACTCTTTCTTTTCTATACACTAAGCTCTATTATTATATTACTGAAAATAACACAATTCATTTTTCATATTCAATAAATATTGTTACAACAAAACTGAAAACAATATAATAAGTAGTTACCTGTCTAATAGTCCAGGGTCTGTGTGTATACATGGTAGAATAAGGTCCTCTAGTATAGGGGTATTTCCCTGGTATTTCTTTAGGCATGTGTGACGTGTCATCTTGAGTATAGACTGGCTTGATTTCAATACCCTAGCAAAATAAAATATTGAAAAAATAATTTAATATGAGCTTCTTTGTAACAAAGTCTAACTCTGATGATTTGTTTGATGTATGTTAATAATGGAATCTTGTTTTGATAAAGCATAATTGATAAATAATTAGGGTGTATTTTATTAATCAAGTTTGGCTTTGTAAACCACATGCATTGTAGCACAAAGCAAGTAGACTTAGCCATTCTGTCTTCTGGCTACTGTCCCATTAACACCTTAGACATTTGTTATGGTTTTCTACATAAAGTCTAATTGACCTTGAGTTGATGTTGATTGTCAGCCCATTAAACTGGCGGTGATTGTACATCAGTTTTGTACTTTTACACTCCCAAAGAATTAACATGTTACCTAGCCTTAAAGAAGACATATATGAAAAGTAGGCTTACTTCATGAGTTTTCCAAGTTAAAGTTTCTTCCACATCCTTGCCTTTTAGTTCCTTCTTTGCTCCTTCAGCCCATTCAGAATCAATAGGTTTCTTACTGGAATATAGCCTAGCACCAGCAGACAATGCCTATAAAATGTATTGTAAAATGAGCAGGCAAATAACTAAATACATCAAGGCAAAAAAAGAATAAAGTATCGTAAAGCAAGAAGTGTAAGCTTATATCGTTTACCGCTACAGTAACCTTTGAAATAACCAAAAGAAGAAAAAATCAGAAATCTTAAGCCTAATGCCACACTGACACTTGCACGAATTTCTTCCCCACAATGCAGTGCTGAGGTCTTGGCAAGAAGCCATTTCATTGCTAGCGGAGCACATCATTTGCTGACTGCGCTCGCACTTTATTACCCATTGCACGACCAAAACTGGCTGCATTGGCACATGGGTTATGTCAGTAGGTCCTACCCTACACCCTTCGCACATACCTCGTGCTAGTTCACAAAGACTTTATGTCATTCCCCTAAAAGACTTCCTGCAAGTGAAAATGTCAGTGCAACTTTAGATTGCTTAGAGTAGACTTTAGATAGTTACCTCCCTTTCCTGAAGAAAAATTCTGTTCATGTTTGGAAGCAATTTCAGGATAATTGAATGCCTAATTCAGATCTACATGCAACTAAACCAGACCTACCTGCACCAGTTGACGCCGACAAAAAGGCTGATAAACTGACGAAATGGACAACATCTTGGAATTTATTCTGGAACTTTTCAACTAGAAGACCATCGTCCTTGATCAAAACATCAACATTAGGTAGGGTCAAGGTCATTATTCAACATACAGGCATTCATTTTACTTTTAACTACCGAATGAGTTCTAAACTACCGAGAGGACATGTTTTATTATCATCTAATAATACACTGAATAATGCAGTTTTTTTTTTACCGAATGTGAAAATATATGCAATAAAATAATGTATTATTATTGCCTTAGACATCGTTACTTGTAGAAGTTACAAAGACAGCATGTCAACATTTGTGATATTTTTGAGTATATTTTTAAGATCTGGAATTCTAAACCTTTATCTTCTAGAAATGCCTCGTTCTTGACCTCATTGAATGACATTTTTCAACTCTTCAAAGTTATTCCAAGATGGCAGCAATCCAAGTTACTCAAGAATGCAATTACTGAAGCCCGTCTAAACAAATTTCCAAGAACAACATTCCCTCAAAGCGGATTCATTAACAATGAAGCCAATTTGATTGAAAATTAATTTCATTTCGTGTATATTTATCAAAACTTTTTCAAGGATGGTAAATCAAATTTGACTAATGAAAAATGTCCCTCAGGTGAGGATGCATAAGAAAAAAATTCATGAATGCTCCATTACTTTTTGTTGAAATAAAAACAAATCAATAGATTTAATACTTTATTGTATTGATATATTTACAGTGTAATAAGGTACATTGAAATCTTGCGATAAGAATTTGATAAGAATTTGACATAGATTTGCACAAATACCTAACTTATGACACAATTGATCTTAGGATTATTTATGGGCCCAGAATCAGAGTAATTAAAGAGATATGGTCAGCTGATAACCTACATCATGAAAGGGCTACAGAAATCATGATGTAAGCTATGTTTTCTCATGTGTCAATAATAACGTTTAACACGAAACAAGTAACCAATATAAACTAAAATTTACAATTAGTTTGCAAGATCACTTCTATGTTCTAAATGATAAGAGGCACCCTTACCCATGATCATTAAACAACGATACATGATAATGATCAGTTAGATGTGAATAATCGTACTGTTACTTAACCCTTTGAACCCTGAGTGTAAATGAATTATAACGTCATATACCCTGAACTCCAGGTAATAAAAGTAAAAGAGTATGACGTTGATGTTGTATGACATCACTTAGCAACGGCCAGTATACCGGCTGATCGGGTATATATTGCGTTAGTGTTTGGCCGGTAAACTGGCCCCTAGGGTTGAAAGGGTTAAGGAACATGACCCATGATATAGCAATTATATGTTAGGGTGGTGTAACAAATCTGACCCTGCCCGTTCCTAAGACGTGATGTACAGATGTGATATTGTGTAATATCACATACACATATCACGTCTAAGCAACAGGTAGGACCAGTACAGTTGGACTAATGTCAGACTAGACATATCTATGTTACAATTCACAAATAGATAGTTTCAATACCCCTATATGAGTACATTCTTCTATTTTAAAGATTTTATTCATTCTCATTCTGTTGGGCTAAAGAAATATACAAGATCAGAAAATAAATAACATATTTTTGTAGTTTTACTTAAAGCAGTTTTACTTAAAGCAGGGTAAAGCATGATTACATGTATTGCAATTAATATTCCATTGTCAAAATTAACAAGTAGATCAAGCTCTTTTCTAAAGCATCTGATTTGATATTTATATATGATAGCTGCTTCACAATTTTAAGCAACAGCCTTTGAACACTAGCCACTAGCAGGTGTTCTTCATCATGTTATACGCTGTAAGTTATCATATAACTTCAGTTTCAGTTCAAGTTATGTGTATTTAAATGTTGACATTCTGTGTTCTAAAGGTTATCTAAGTCCATTTGGGAATATTTTTGCCGAATTTTTATAAAATCTATAGTAAAAATCTGAATTAACACAATCTGTCCTTCTGTAAAAATGATAATATTAGCCTCTATACTGTACTACCATAGTTATATAGTTGAACATGTCCTCAGGTTTATTGAAAGTTTTAAATTATCTCTAAGAAACAGTGGAAATAGATTCAGTTCACTTAGTAGATTCTTGACCTTCAAATATTGGGTATTGTTTTAATATATCATCCCAGCTTCTTCTTCCATCAACTAAATCTTTTACTATCTGGGGGATTTCTTCCATCTATAATACAGAATATAGGATTAATATTGAATTTAGCTAATTATGGATTAATTATGGAAATGTGAGACAAACTGGTATTTTTTCAAGTCATTAGAACACCTCTACTTGCTATTCACATTAGTATTAGCATTTTCATTCAGGAACCCATTTTTAATCAATTCGTAATTAAACAAATAAATCTTTTGCAATCTGACTTTAAAAATATGTCAAGTAGGCTATAATGATATTGGAATGTTGGTGCACATTAAAAGGGATAAAAACTGAATATTTACCTTAGCTCTGACTTGTTTCATTGTATCTCGTTCTCGTAGTGTTACAGTAGGTGGTTTAGCTTGTAGAGTATCGAAATCTATAGTAACACCGTAAGGTATAGCTATCATATCAGTTCTAGCATACCGTTTTCCAATACTACCTCCACTATCATCTATACGATGTGATATATCATTTAACGTCAGTGATTCAGCTATAATAGAAATAACAAATATATTGAATATAGTTCGCAAATAATGATCACCAGGATATAAATGTCTATAAGTCATACAATGTAATATATCATTTGATGTCAGAATAGACAATATACAGTGTTCGGTGCGTGATGATCGATACAGTAGACAATAGAACAAGTGAACACACGAGGTACAGGTGCGGACAACCCCAGAAACGATTTGTTTATACTATATCGATAATCCTGCACAGTACATCGTCTATTTCCACCTTAAGAACTATTGTTANAGGGGTCTAGTTATTTATCTATTGG